ATGGTGGTGCATCTGTGGTCCCAGCTACTGGGGAGGCTGAGGCAGGAGGATCATTTGAGCCCACACGTTTGAGGTTGCTGTGAGCTGTGATGATGCCACTGTACTCTAGCCTGGGCAACAGAAAGTGACCCTGTCTAAAAAAAAAAAAAGAAAGAAAAGCATAAGAAAAAGAAAGAAAGAAAGAAAGGAAGATCACTGTAGAGCATTGAGTGGTGCCCCCCAGCAAAATATTTGTTTGTGTCCTGACCCCCAAAAACTGTGACTTGAATATGACCTTATCTGGGAAAAGAGTATTTGCAGATGCGATTAAATTAAGGATCAGTAGACGAGATCATTCTGGATTATCTGGGTCCTAAATCCAATGACAAGCGTCCTTCTAAGAGACATACGAAGGAGAAGGCCAGGTGGCCGTGGAGACAGAGACTGGAGGGATGCAGTCGCAAGCCAAGGAAAGAGACAAAGAAGAGAGTCTTCCGCGCTGGAGAGAGCGTGGTCGGGCCTACAGCTTGACTTCAGACTGCAGGCCTCCAAACTGCGAGAGAATAATTTAAGCCATCACGTTTGTGGCAATTTCAGGAAGCTCGTACAGTCACACACTCAGGCCCCTGGACGGGGAAGGAGTTTTAAGGAAACAGAGCCCCTGAATTCCTACCACAGACAGTTTCTCCTCCCACCCCCTGTTGGGTGGCCCCCGTGGGACTATTCACTTCCTGCTCTTGTCACATTTAAAGGGAAATACTGTCTTATAAAGCATCAGAGTAGGTGGCCCAAGGGGGCCCAAGGGCCCCAAGCTTGTGCCAGATGGGCCTGGCAGGTGTGTCCCCAAGTTCTTTCAATCCGCCCTTCCTGTTCAGTAGCATCTCCTCACAGCCAGAAGTAAACCGCAGAGGCCAGGACTCATTTGTTGACTAGTGCATTTATTAATTCAAGACTGACTTACTACTGAATGTCCCCTTGATGCCAGGCGTCGGGCTACGTGCTAGAGAGACACGTGTAGATCGTTACACAACTGCGTGGTATGTGTGTCGATGGCAGAGATGGCACAGAGAAGAGGGCCTGACCCAGACTAGAGAGGAAGAGACGCCGGAGGCTTGGAGGTTAGGGGGTAGCCACAAATTGCATGTGGCTTTTAAATTTTAAATTAATTAAAATTAAATAATACTAAAAACTCACTTCCTATCACCCCATTTCAAGAGTTCAATAGCTACATATGTACAGTATCACAGAACATTTCCATCATTATAGAAAGTTCTGGCCAGGCACGGTAGCTCATGTCCATCATCCCAGCACTTAGGAAGCAGAGGCAAGAAGATTGCTTGAGGCCGGGAGTTTGAGACCAGCCTGGGCAACCTTGAACTCCTGGGCTCAAGCGATCCCCCTTCTTTGGCCTCCCAAAGTGCTAGTATTACAGGCGTGAGCCACCACGCCCAGCCTCATCTTCCAGACTAAAACTCTGTCCTCATGAAACACTCACTCCCCATCCACCTCTCTTCCCAGCCCCTGGTAACCATTTTACTTTTTGTCTCCAAGAATTTGACTCCTAGGTACTCCAAATAGCTTTGCTTTTTTGTGACCAACTAATTTTACTTAGTATAATGTCTTCAAGGTTCATTCATGTTGTAGCATGTGTCCTTTCTTTCTAAGGTTGAATAATATTCCACTGTGTGTCTATACCACATTTTGTTTATGCACTCACCAACTGGTGGACACTGAGGTTGCTTCCACCTTTTGGCTATTGTGAATGATGTTTCTATGAACACAGGTGTACAAATACTTGTTTGGAGTCCCTGCTTTCAATACTTTCGGCTACATACCCAGAAATGGCATTGCTGGATCATATGATAATTCTACGTGGAATCTTTTTTAGGAACTGCCGGGCTGTTCCGCAGTGGGTGTCCCACTTTGCATTCCCACCAACAACGCACAGGGTTCCAATTTCTCCACAAGCTTGCCAACACTTGATATTTTCTTTTGGATTTGTTTTCGTTTTTTATAATAGCCATCCTAATGTGTGTTAAGTGGTATCTTGTGCTTTTGATTTGGATTTCCCTAGTGATTAGCAATATTGACTATCGTAATGGCAAATGTGCTTATTGGTCATTTGCATGTCTTCTTTGGAGAAATGTCTATTCAAGTCTTTTGCCCATTTTTTAATTGGGTTGGTTTTTTGTTGTTGTTGTTGTTCTTGAGTTGTAGGAACTCTTTATACAGCCTAAATATTATCACATATATGTGGTTTACAAATATTTTCTCCCATTCCATGGGTTGCCTTCACTCTTTTGATAGCGAGTATCCTTTGATGCACAAAAATTTTTAATTTTGATGAAGTCTAATTTATCTATTTTTTTTCTTTTGTGCTTTTGGCATCATATCCAAGAAATCATTGGCAAATTCAACATCCTGAAGATTTTCCCTTATGTTTTCTTCTAAGAGTCTTATAGTTTTAGCTCTTACATTTAGGTCTTGGGTCTTTTTTGAGTTGATAGGTGGATAGATTTTAATTTGATGCACAAAGAAATAGGGCAGCAGAGCCTGGTCCTGAGCATGTAGTACACTGAGAGAGAGATGCCATCTTCCTGAAGCCTCTCGGGTAGAATAAGATCAGATTGTACGTGAAAAACCAATAGACTTCAGAGAAAATCAAACCAATCTTTTCTTCCTTAATCCCCTGCCTTCCAGGTAATTCCGCAGTCAAATGAAAGAGAGAGAGGAAGATGATTCGACAAGACACACAAGATGTAGCAAAGAAAGGTGTTTGTCATAGGGAGAAAAGGGAAGTAATTGTGTTTACACGAATCCTGACAGTGTCTTACAATATAGAAGGAAGAATATTTTCCATCTGCTGAAAAATCTAGCCTGGGCATGTGAAGATATTCAGAGTTACCCTTCTGGCCTCATGTTGGGGTGTCTCAGCCTATCACAGTTACCTCTGTTAGTTAACGCTTTCTTGCAGAATCGCAAAGGCCCACAGAATGAAAGCGGTTGCTACGAGTGCTCGTGAAAAGTAGGAGTTAAGCATCTGGATCCTTATTCTATGCCTCTCCTGCCAAGAATGCAGACTTTGTCTTCAAGGACCTCCTAGATTGTTGGGGTAACTAGACGTAGATGTTTGATGCACACATTTATTTGTTAGAAGTTATGAGACTAGCAATTAGGGAGTGAGGCAGAAAGTGGCAGGAACATGATATTGCAAAGGGAGGTTGGGAACCACCTGTGAAGGACTTTGTATGTTAGTCCAAGGAATGTGAGCTTTAACCTAGAGCACAGGTGACAAACTCAAAATCCCACAGAGACCATGTATGTCAATAAGGAAAGCTGACCAGAGGTGAGTAGTAGGGAATGGTGGGAACTGTGGCAAAGTGCAGAACTCATGCTCTGTCTAAAGGGGCAGCTACTCTTAGCTCCAGCTGATTGTGACCACATGGGATTATTGGTCCAATGTGGTCCAATACATCTTCCAGTTTTCTAAGAGAAAACAGAAATCCAGGACGGCCCCAGGTTTTTAAAAACTACAGGCCAAACCAAACTGGTTTTTAAGATTGATATGGCCCGCGGGCCATCGGTCTGCCACCTTGGCCATTGAAGGGAGCTAGTGAAGGTGTTTAGGTGAAAAAAGGTGTATGATCCTATCTGTGCTTTAGAAAAATCAAATTGCTGTGTGGGAGATGAATTGCAGGGAATAGACTAGATGAAGGAAAACCAGTGAGGAACTTGTTTCAACAGTTCAGGTGCGAGGTGACAGTAGTCAGTGCTAGGACGGGGCAGCGGGGAATGTTGGTGGACTGACTTGGAGTCCAGCATTTGGAGGGAAGAATTTAGCTTTCATGCGCATCTGGAAGAAGGCAAATGAACTCTTTCAACGCACCCTTCCCACATACCCCCCTTTCCTGAACTGGGAGCTGAAAGGCACAGGGCGGATAGATAATCCTTAAAGCCAAAGGGCGGGGAATTTCAGCAAAGACTTCAGTTCTTCGTGCAGTCTAATTTTACTCGCGATTATTTTAGAGATAGACTCCTTAACCGACTCCTCCAATCCTTATCCATTCCCATGGGATAATTTTAATTTATGGGCTCAGCACAAAATTCAAATTAAAAACATGTATATCACGGTGTTGAGCTCTTTCAAGCAGCCAATGGGAAACGCAGGGCCAACTCCTCCGCAAGAGCGCTGGGCTCTGATCCCAGCAGAGAGGGGACCTGGCTCCCAAAGAGGCCGTTTCATGGAGACAGACACATGAGAAGTGGGCTTCGGATCCATGTCACGGTCTTGCTGGTTGTGCAGCCGGTCCCCAGGGTCCTCAGAAGCAGGCAGAGGGTAAGGAAGTGGGAGTGCAAGGGAGGAAGGGCGACTTCCTTCCAAGAATGTTTCTGGTACCCAACAAGTGTCGTGCTAGCACTTTTTTTCTCTGCAGACCCTTCCAGTTTTTGAGGGCTGTACTTTTGGGTGTGGGCACAGGAGACGGCTCTGAGACGCTGCAGAGCAAAGCCTCCCCTTGTTGGCACTGCGCGGGAGCGGGCGCCCCGTGGGATGAGGGAAAGGACGGGGCAGTCAGGCAAAGGTTAGGGGAGGGAAGCAGAGGCCAAGGCCCAGAACGGCTCCAGGAAATGTTTGTATTTCTCCACCAGGAGGGAGGACAAACACGCTTTTTTCATGCCTTCTGAGCAGCTTTGCACAGTCTCCAGCACAGAATGAGTCCGAGGAGGAAAGAGCAAAGCTGAAAATGAAAACTATCCTGGGGCTGGACCCAGCAACTCCTCTACAGCATGAATCTCATCGGACCCACCGGCCGCCTCCCAGAAATGACCGCTTTCCTGCAACTGCATGCCTTTCCCAGCCTTGCCCGGCGACAGGCTTCGCCTCTCAGGCAGACAGGCGGCTTGTGACCTGGGCTCCAGGAAAGGACCTCACCGGGACTCTCGTTTCCTGGCTGGAGTTTCTCTTCTCGGTGCGCTGGCAGCATCCACCCACACAGGCAGGCCCTGCATCCCGGGTGATGCGGTTGGACACGCAGCAGCTGGGTGAGTGGTAGTGGTCAGATAAGCATCTGTGCTTTTGTGGGGACTCCGGGGCCGCTAGGCACCCAGGACACTTGTCCTCTCTCCGCCATGTACAATGGGTCGTGCTGCCTCATTGAGGGGGACCCCATCGCCCAGGTGATGCCGCCACTGCTCATTCTGGCCTTCGTGCTGGGCGCCCTGGGCAACGGGCTGGCCCTGTGTGGCTTTTGCTTTCACATGAAGACCTGGAAGCCGAGCACGATCTACCTTTTCAACTTGGCCGTGGCCGATTTCCTCCTCATAGTCTGCCTGCCCTTTCGGACGGACTACTACCGCAGACAGCGACACTGGGCGTTTGAGGATATTCCCTGCCGGGTGGTGCTGTTCATGATGGCCATGAACAGGGCTGGGAGCATCGTCTTCCTCACGGTGGTGGCTGTGGACAGGTATTTCAAGGTGGTGCACCCCCACCACATGGTGAATGCCATCTCCAACCGCACGGCGGCCAGCATTGTCTGTGTCCTTTGGACCATAGTCATCCTGGGGACTCTACATCTTTTGATGGAGAACCACCTGTGTGTGCAAGAGAAGTCGGTGTCTTGTGAGAGCTTCATCATGGAGTCTGCCAATGGCTGGCATGACATTATGTTCCAGCTGGAGTTCTTTTTGCCTCTTGGCATCATCTTGTTTTGCTCCTTCAAGATTGTCTGGAGCCTGAAGCAGAGGCAGCAGCTGGCCAGACAGACACGGATGAAGAAGGCCATCCGGTTCATCATGGTGGTGGCTGTTGTGTTCGTCACGGGCTACCTGCCCAGCGTGTCAGCCAGACTGTATTTCCTCTGGACAGTGCCCTGGAGTGCCTGTGACCCCTCTGTCCACCTAGCCCTACACGTCACCCTCAGTTTCACCTACATGAACAGCATGCTGGACCCCTTGGTGTATTACTTTTCAAGTCCCTCGTTCCCCAAATTCTACACCAAGCTCAAAATGCGCAATTTGAGACCCAGGCAGCCAGGAGACCCAAAGACACCAAGGCCGGAAGAGATGCCAATTTCAGACCTCTGTCGCAAGAGTGGCGTCAGCGTGGCAAGTAGTTTCCAAAGCCAGTCTGATGTTCAGTGGGATCTCCAAATGTGTTGAATGGCACTAAGTCAACTGACCAACCACATCTAGGAGGACAGATGGGTGACTTTAGGATAAATTCATGCTAAGGGGTGGGGGGCGTTGAAAACACCACCACCCTTTCTGAGCTGTATCCTCACGCTGTTGGAAATGAAATGCACATGACTATACCTTTTTGGAAGGTTCCAGTTGATCGAAGTGAGTTGGTTGACTTTATATGATCTGATTACAAGGGTAAGGCACCCTACGGGCTGTGACCGGGGGTTAGGAAGTGCACAGCCCCTGTGCACTTTAAATGGCTGAGTAAGTGGGAATGAGTGTTTAAATGGGTCATGTTCTCTTTCTGGCGCGTGGGAAGCAGTTAATGAACTTAAAGAGCTATCAGTATTTCCTATCCTCTGACCTTAAAGCATTACTTCTCTTGCAAAACAGAAACTGGCTACATTAATACTTTTATTTCAGGCTGAGTGAGGCTCTTTTGACTGAGTTGCCTTGGTCCTGATGGTTTCATCTTCACAGGGACTCCTGTATACATTTCTTTGTCATTATTTTGACTTCCCGGCAGCCCAAGAACAACAGCCAAACAGTCCGCTCTAACCTTCTTCAAGCTCCACATTTTTCTGCAAATCTTTGCTTTTCTAAGAAGGTGCTGAGAGATATGTTTACCTGCCCTGGTTTCTCCAGTGGGATGTGCTGAGCCCAGCATAATTGCTTTCGACTGCTAGTTATGTGATTGTGAATTGAAATTATTCATTCATTTATCTCCAAGTGTGTACTGCATTCATATCTGGTGGCAGGCACGATGCTTGTGTCCTTTTTACCAGGAGGGTCATTAATCAACTCTCGTGTGACAGCAAAGTTTTTCAGATGGCAAACAGAGAAGTTAAGGACTTTCATCCTTTCATGGAATATAGTTTCTAGACCTGTTCAGTGCAAACATCAGAGTTATCCTCTTGTTGCAAGACTGCCTTATGCACAAGTTTCCCAGATATGTACCTGGAGCCCTGAAAACTAGATGACTTTATGAAATGACAGGCTGCCCCTGAATTTCCAAGCCAACCTTAGCTCCCGTCTCAAGCTATGAAGTGGTAAAAGTAGTTCTCGACTCCTTTGTCTACACTCCCTCAAAATTCCCAGGGCTCTCTCCCTACGTTAGGACCTGGCCATCTTCTAGTTTTTGGTCTCAAAACACCCGTGTAGGCTGTCTCTATTATTTCTTTTTTCAGAGGCACTGAACAGCCCAGTGACGAAACATACAGGCCAGAGAAAGTCAGATAAAACTTAAGTTTGAATCCCAGCTCTGCCACTTACCAGATGTGTGACCTCTGGGCAGATCTTATGTAACCACTGTCAGCTTCAACCTCCTCATCTGTCAAACAGGGGCAAGATCAACGCTGACTTCGAAGGGTCATTGGGTGGATTCAGTGAATATGCAACCCTGAAGTGAAAGGAAAGACTTTGTTCATTGTCATAATATCCCGGGTACCTAGAAGAGCACCTGCACGTAGTAGGTGCTTAATAAATATTTGTTGACTGAATGAATGAATAAGTGCATGTAAAGAATTAAGCCCTGTGCCTGGCAGTAAATGCTCAATATTATGACTTATTATATTAACACGTTTCACACATACAGAAACTGAGGCACAGAAGCGATTTCCTTTGGGGTTCAGAGCCCCTAAGTAGCTGCTCCATCACCACGCCTGCATTTCCCTCCTCCCCAGCTCCCTGGCAGGAGTGAAAGCAAAGAGTGTAATCAGCACCAAAGAACCATGTCTCCTCCCAATAGAAATCTGTGAAAACTCACACTTCTGCTTTTAATTCTATTCTTAGTTATAATTCTTTCCTGGGCTGTTCCTTTCTTGCTTCGTTGTAATAAAAATGGATTCTGAAAGAAAGTCTGTGTCCTGCGTGTGACTCTAGCTTGAAAGACTCCTAGGACTTTGCTGTCCAAGGGAAAAAGGCTCTGCTATCCAGAGGCACACGGCAGGGGGGTAAACAGAGGTTCTCACTAAAAAATGGCAAGAACAAACAAAAAGAAAGACAAATCAAACCAGGCCGGGCGCAGTGGCTCACACCTGTAATCCCAGCACTTTGACAGCTTGAGGCGGGAGGATCGCTTGAGGTCAGGAGTTTGAGACCAGCCTGAGCAACAGCGAGACCCCATCTCTACAAAAAACAAGAAAATTAGCCAGGCGTGGTGATGTGCACCTATAGTCCCAGCTACTTGGGAGGCTGAGGAAGGAGGATCACTTGAGCCCAGGAGCTTGAGGCTGCAGTGAGCTATGATGGGGTGAGCTACCTGGGATGACAGAGCAAGACCCTGTCTCAAAAAACAAAAAGAAAAGAACAGAAAAATCAAAGCAAACCTTGAACCAGTTCTTCTTTTTTTTTTTTTTAGAGGCAGGATTTCACTCTGTGGCCTGGGCAGGAGTGCTGCCTCCTGAGTAGCTGGGACTACAGGTGCGAAAGATGGGGTCTCACTCGCTACGTTGCCCAGGCTGGTCTCAAACTCCTGAGCTCAAGCGATCCTCCCGCCTCGGCCTCCCAGAGTGCTGGGATTACAGGCGTGAGCCACCGCGTCCAACTCCAAACCCAGACTTGATTCTACATTTGCTTCCCCTTTTAAATTCGCAGAATGTGATGAAAAATAAGTCAAATCAAGAAGTTTCTTCAGAAATTGTAAGGAAGAGGAGCGTACCTTTGGTGACAAAGCTTTGTTTAAACTACCTGAAATAGGAAAACAGTCAATTTAGACGAAAATGTTTTCTCCTTTTAGGGTCTTTCAGGAAAAGTCACATAAAAGCTAGAAGAGGTATTCAACCAGATAGTCTACAGGGATTATGTGGAAAAAAATAAGAGGTACCTTTTATTGGTGCGGATGATAACACTTTAAGTTTTGGTCTGTTCTGAGAATGGGCTTCCCTACACTTTGTCACAACTGAAATGTTAAGATGCTGTCTGAGCTCCCTAGTGCGCCGGGGCTGCTCGGAGGGGACAGAACCCTGGGCGCAAGGGGTTAAGCCAGTTGTTAAAAATTCTACAGCAAGGTGGGGACTTGGCCACTCTGTGATATGTGGTCTCCACTGGCGGCCTCGAGACACCATCATCACAGGGAGCGTGTAAAGGGCTCCCAGACCAGCTACATCCCTTGCAGGTCCTGGTGAAAAATGAAAATGCAAGGTCTCTTGTTCGGAAAGTATTAGGATGTCAAGATGGTAACAGCAGAGCATTAAACCGAGCACAGGGCCCTTCTGAGCTCATCCATAAAGCCAGGGCTCTAAGAGAGAGAGACAGACAGAGAGAGACAGAGAGATATGGAGTAGAATAAACAGAGGGGCTCACACATAGGGCCTAATCTTTGTGCACGTCCCAGCGTATCAGAATATAAAATGATATTGCCAGCAGAGGTCAATACTTTATCCCTTATAAGGATTCATTCACTCATTCATTCCCTCTTTTGAGGAACATTAATTAAGCACCAGCTCTGTACCAGGCATAGGAGAAGAAACACAAATGAAAAACATAGTCCCTGACCCCACGGGGTCCATTGAGCAACCAAGGGGAAAAAATAACATGGTAAATCCGGGTAACTGTGGTGAGAGTGGCAAAACGGGCTTCCACGGGAAAATCCAGGGGCCCTGCCTCCTGCATTAGGGGACGGAACGATCGTCTGAGAGGCAGTGGCTTGCGAACTTGGCCCTGCAGCATGCATAGGAAGCCGCCAGGGAATCCGTGTGGAAGGCTATTCCAGGCAGAGCCGGAGAGGTGAGAAAGAGCAAACTAGCTGTTTGGGAGGCACAGGAAGACAGTGGGGTCGCTGCAGCTGTGACCACCTGGAGAGAAGTGAAGCCCTGAGTTTGGCTGGGGAGCGAAGTGTCTGTTCACAACCCTTCACGTGACAGAAGACTCATGAAAAGCCTTTAAGATTCCCTTATTTTTTTAAAAAAATGATGTTTCTTTATTTGTAGAAGGCATTTTTTTTGTTGTTCAAAATTCAAAGAATACACAGATACATAAAGTAAGGTGTAAACGTCTTCTTTTGGTTCCTCTTAATCCTATTTCCAGGAAATGACAACTTCAGCATTCGGGGTATGTATGCATTTTGCACACAGATAAAGAGTCTTTTGCATTATTTTACAAAAGCAAGATCATACCCCATACATCCATGTCACTTTAGATCTAGATACTGTTTTGCAAAGTAGTTTCATCGTAAATAACTTCCCACATCACAACATAGAAATTGAGCTCATTCTTTTTAACTACATTTCATTGTATAAATCAGTGGTCCTCAACTTTTTTGGCACCAGGGACCAATTTGATGGAAGACAATTTTTCCATGGGGCGGATGGTGGCAGATCTCTGTGGCCTGGGGGTTGGGGACCACAGGTATAAATGATCCATGTATAGTTTATTTCACCAATGGCCTTTTAATAGACATTTAAGCTGTTTTCAATTTTCTTCTATTGCAACCATGCTATGGTGAATAGTCCGAATGATGTGTCTTTGCGCACATGTGTCAGGGGTTGGGGGAGATTCTGGATGATTCTTAGACGTGGTGTTGTTGGGTCAAAAGACAGCTATGCTTTGGAGAGGTGTAGCACACAGGGCCTAAGAGCCTTGGAGCCAGACTGGGTTCAAACCCCATCTCTTTAGTAGCTGTGTCACCCAAGGCAAGTTACTTAACACCTCAATGCTTCACTTTCCCTGTTTGTAAAATGAAAAACAAAGGGTCATCGTGAACACTAAATGAGTTCAGATGTATAAAGCACCTAGAATAGTGCCCGACGTAGAGTAGGCACCATTTCTGTATTAGCTCTTGTTACAATCTTGACAGATACCACCAAATGGTCTAAAAAAAAGGCCAAACCAATTTATACTCCCACCAAGAGTGTATGAAAAATTATTCTGTTGCACACTCTTGCACACAAGATATTTTGTTTAATAAGCATTTTTCTGCTTTAACAAAAAAAAAAAAGAGGCCGGGCGCGGTGGCTCACGCCTGTAATCCTAGCTCTCTGGGAGGCCAAGG